CGGCACGGAGTCCTCTCTTGTTGTCCTCAGGGCCCCGGAAGGGCGAGGAGGAAGAGTGGGCTCCAGCAGAGAAAATCAGTGAGTAAGGGGCCTGGGAGTGTGGGCACAGGGTGTGCAGGGCGGGCCTGGGGCACGCGACCCACCCAAGGGCACACGTAGGTCCCCAACCTGGATTTCCTGCCAGCGCTCCGGGCCTCTAGAACCCTCCAGGCTCGTCAGTTCTTGGGGCCTGGAGTGGCTCTGCCCCGGGCCCAACCCCAGGGCACAGAGCTCATGGCACAGGCAGGCGTGCAGACGCCCGTGTGGCTGGGCCCTGGGGTGGCTGTCCCGGGACGGCCTGTGCACCACGGCCCTGGAGCAGGGCGTCATCAGCCTGTTCTCTGGGGAAGGCTGAGGCCAGGGAGGGGAGCACAGCCTGGGTGGAGCTGCCCTGACTGGCCCCCCGACGTGAGGAGAGAGGGCTCTGGGGTCCAGTTCTGAGGTGGGTGGAGGGAGGAATGGAGCCACCGGCCACCAGCCCGGGGTCTGTCCTCAGAGTGCCCCCCCATCGGGATGGAGTCGCACCGCATCGAGGACAACCAGATTCGAGCCTCCTCCATGCTGCGCCATGGCCTGGGCGCCCAGCGGGGCCGGCTCAACATGCAGGTGGGTGCTGGGAGGGGCCCCTCTCCTGGCCGGCCGGACTCCTCCCCCCGCTCAGCCTCCGGCTGCCCAGCAGGCGGGTGCTGTCGAGGACGACTACTACGACGGGGCGTGGTGCGCCGAGGACGATGCGCAGAACCAGTGGATCGAGGTGGACACCAGGAGGACCACCAGGTTCACAGGCGTCATCACTCAGGGCCGCGACTCCAGCGTCCAGTACGTTGCTCACAGGCACTCGGGGGGTGGGGAGCCCCAGGCCCGCCTCAGTTCCACTCCAGACACTCCTGTGGGCCCCCCAGGCCTCAGCCCCCTCCTTGGCCATGCAGCGGGCACGGGAGCCACTCCTGATGCCAGGCAGCACTACACACCCCTGCCAGCTCTTAAGTGCTTGGGCCCAGGAGAAGGGGCATCAGCCCTCTGACGGCCTAGGACCCAGGCCGGAGACCAGCCTTGCCCTGACCGCTGACCACTGTCGCTCTCCAGTGACGACTTTGTGACCTCCTTCTTCGTGGGCTTCAGCAATGACAGCCAGACATGGGTGATGTACACCAACGGCTACGAGGAAATGGTGGGTACTTGAGCCCTCAGCTCGCTCCCAGCATCTGGGCCTCAGGTGGGCCCTGGCCCAGCATGGGGTGCTGCTCTGAGGCCTGCCTCTCCCCAGACCTTCCATGGGAATGTGGACAAGGACACGCCCGTTCTGAGCGAGCTCCCGGAGCCAGTGGTAGCCCGTTTCATCCGTGTGTACCCCCTCACCTGGAATGGCAGCCTGTGCATGCGCCTAGAGGTGCTGGGCTGCCCCGTGACCCGTGAGTGCCGGCGGGGGCAGGGGCTTGGAGGGGCGGCTGGGGGACCGGGGCTGGGCTGGCAGCTGACCAGCTCAGGGCCCTGCCTGTCCACCCTCTGCAGCTGTCCACAGCTACTATGCACAGAATGAGGTGGTCACCACCGATGACCTGGACTTCCGGCACCACAGCTACAAGGACATGCGCCAGGTGGGTGCTCGTCCCAGGGCAGGGGGTCCTGTCCAGAGCTCAGGCTCCTGGCTCGCAGGGTCTTGTGTGGGAGCTCCATTCTGCTCCCCTCCCCAACACGGCCCCCGAGGGAGGTGGGCTGGCCCTCGCCTCGGGAAGGAGGAACCCTCCACCCCACACTATTACCGAGGGCCGGGCTCCCCGGCAGGGGCCACGAGGCCTTCTCAGGGAGCAGACGGGCAATGCGGGGGCCATGGTCCCTGGGGAGGTGGGTGCTGGGCTGTGTGACGGGGTCCTCTCCCCTGCCCAGCTGATGAAGGTGGTGAATGAGGAGTGCCCCACAATCACCCGCACATACAGCCTGGGAAAAAGCTCACGCGGGCTCAAGATCTACGCCATGGAGATCTCCGACAACCCTGGGGACCATGAGCTGGGTGAGGCCTCCATAGCCCCCGAGGCCTGGCCCTCCCGAGTAGAGGCAAGGCCCTGGCACTACTGCTCACCTCTGCCTGCCCTCGGAACCCCTCTTGCTGGCCCTCCAAGCCTCAGTTGCCCAGCCCTCGGAGTGAGGCCAGCTTTGTTCCTTCCTCAGCTGCCCACGCCCCCCTCGGTAGGCTGAGTGGTTGCTGAGGTCCTGCCCTTGCAGGGGAGCCGGAGTTCCGCTACACGGCCGGCATCCACGGCAACGAGGTCCTAGGCCGCGAGCTGCTGCTGCTGCTCATGCAGTACCTGTGCCGCGAGTACCGCGACGGGAACCCCCGCGTGCGCAGCCTGGTCCACGACACGCGCATCCACCTGGTGCCCTCGCTGAACCCCGATGGCTATGAGGTGGCAGCGCAGATGGTGGGTGCAGGGGAGAGGGATTCGGGTGGTGGCCTGTGCAGGGGGCGGGGGTGTCAGCAATTGGGTGGTCCAGACTTGCCCCATGCCATCCCTGCCCACCCAGCCTGCCCCCAGCCCCAACCCCCTGCACAGGCCACC